CTTCCGCCCCCTTTGATGGCATCCCATCCTGCGCCCCGAGGCTTTCCCCTCCCCCTTCCGTCGAATCACCGCCTGTCAAGGCCTGTCCGCGCGTGGGCGAAGCCCCTCTCACGCCCATCGCCTTTTGCCCCCCCCCGGCTGGGACCCCACATCGTCCACTCCAGAATTTTCTTGCGTTCGCCGTCTTCTCGGACCGTACTCCTTCTGCCTCCGTACCTTGGCCCGGCGCCCACGCCCTGGGTGCAGGGCGCTGACCCCCCGGGGGATAGGGCGTCGCCCCATCCTTTTCCCGGGAGATTTCGCATGGCTCCCTTCCGTGTGCACGTGTACCATTTCCTGCGTGCTCGAAGGGCAATTTCATCGAGTGTGACCGCCCAGCCGGCGCGCAGGGCGGGGAAGACGGAGGGAGGGAAGGAGGGAGAGGGGAAGAAAGGTTGTAGATGTTCCTCAGCTCCCACAGGAGGGACCACAGGACAGTCGTATCGCCAAGAAGGACGTCTTCGACGCGTTCGAAATAGCAGAGAGGAATCAAGGGGAAAGTACGGCAGCGGAAGAGCCAAAAGGCACACCCCAGGCGCTCCCGGGCACGCACGAGGGAAGAAGGGGGGGAGGGAGGAAGGGAGGGAGGGAGGAAAGAATGACTGGTGTCTTCCTCGCAGAGGAGCTCCTGCAAACCCTTGGTGCACGCGGCAATTTCGGGTTCGAGGCGAAGAAATAGGGCGCAGAGAAAGCGACCGTTCCGGAAGGAATCCCGGTGCAGAGGTAGATGGGACGGCGAGCTCGGCCCCTGGTCCTCCCCCCCTCCCTCGTCCACCCCCTCCTTCACATCCTCCGGCAGCCATCGATCCAGGACCGGTGGCGCCGGTACAGGGGGCAAATTCACGGGAAGGCCGAGCCCCTGCAGCCAGGCATGGACTAGCACACGTTCCCGGAAGCTGAGGGCCCGGGTGGGTGAGACAACCTCTTCCCTTCCTTTGTGATGAGGGAAGGGTGGCACGGGGGCCGCGGGGCCTCCATGGGATGCTGGCGACGCCGCTTTATGGCATGGCACCACGTCTTCCGTTGCAAATGAGCGATCCTCTGCTTTCAGAGGTGGTGTCAGGGAGGTAGAGTGCCGAGGACTTCCGGCACGAGAGAGGACGTCTATCTTTGCCTCCTCTTCTGAGAAAAGGCTTCCTGGTCGATGAAATGATGCCTGCGAAAGGTAGGCTTGGCATTTGGAGGGGAAGGGGCTCTGGGAGGAGGTCATTCCGTCGTCTTCCATCTCTTTTTCAATTTCCTCCTCTCTTTCCCCCTCTTCCCCGTTTTTCCCCCCGCCCGCCTG